CCATTGCCTGGAACAGTTCCTGACATAGTTGGTGCTCAGTAGTATTTGTTGAATAAATAGGCGAATGGCCCCTTATCTTTCAACTTTCAACTCATATGTCCCCTTCTTGCAGTGTTCTTTCCCCTGAGCTGGCTACCTGATTCTCTTTCTTTCTTTCTTAAATCTTCACCTGAGGATATGTTTATGGATTTCTTAGAGGGAGGGAGGGAAAGAGAGAGAGAGAGGAAGAGTAAGAAAGATTGGTCGCCTCTCGTGTGTGCCCACAGCCTTCTTGGTGTAGCGGATGGTGCTCCAACCAGCTGAACCTCCCGGCCCGCGCTGCTTTCATGTCTTTTGGGTAAATACCTAAGAGTGCAGTAGCTGGATTATATGGTGACTCTATGTTTAACATTTTGAGGAACCACCCAGTTTTTCCACAGAGTCGTGCCGTTAACATTTCCACCGGCAGGTCCCAATTTCTCTACATCCTCGGCAACATTTGTCATTTTTTCCCTTTTCGGGACTAGCCGTGCTGATGGGCATGGTGTCTCATGGTGATTTTGATTTGCATTTTCCTTATGACTAATGATTTTGAACATCTTTTCATGTGCTTTCTGGACATTTGTGTATCTTTTCAAAGGTTTCTTTTTAAAAGGAGAAAAAATCCGAGCATGTGTAGGGGGAGGCTTGCCCGCCCCCTTCCCACCCCGCGTGGGGAGGCAGGTGGGTGTAGGGTGCAGCTTTAGATGGTGGCGTTGTCTGTCTGGCTTCCTCTGCGTGCGCATTTCTCTCTCTCCTGCGTGTGCCGTGTCTACAGGTAGATGGCTCCTGGCTGCCCCTGCGGTGTTACTGGACGTGAATGTCTGAGAGAGGCCTGGGGCTGCAAGTGAATGAGGGCTTTCCGGTCGTCGGTAGGATGCCTTCAAAGTGCAGACGCACGCACCCCGCACTCCCTGACGGGCCTGGCGCTCGCCCGCGTGTTTCAGTGTAGGGGCCGCAGGCCTGACGGCCCGGCCCGGGGGCTGCGGTGCTGGGAGAGCGGTGCTGTGATTTTCCATCAGAGTAGCCAGTTCCCGTCTTCTTTTTGTCAGAACTCTCCTGGTAGACAGGACGGTATGGTACAAGAGATCAGTACTTTACCAGCAGCACAGTAGGTAATTTCCACGGGAATCAATGGGTGAAGCTTTAAAATGACTTTTCATTGGGGGAGATGACAGCTTGGTTTTGTCCCTGGCGCTTGCGGTGTCCTGGCGGTGAGCTCCCGAGCCACTCTGGCTCTGCCGTCTCGGGTGCGGGCCGCCTGGCGCGCTGGGGAGCGTGCGCGCGGGCGCGGCCCTAGCAGAAGGAACTGCGCGTTCCCTCTGATGGGCTGGGTAGCAATTTCTCCCCTTTAACTGTTCAGAACAGCGAGTTTCTTCATAGATTAATATCCATAGCTACATAGTGATTTTAAATCCAGACTAAACCTAGGGTGGAGGAAAGAAGAAAAGGCTCTTTTATGAAAAAAAGGGAAACTTGTCAAGAAGTGGGTGTCTTACAGGTTTTTAGGAATCATCTGTTCTTACTGCCTTTTATCTTTTTTTAAAAATTGATTTTAGAGGAAGGGAGAGAGAGAGACATCAATGTGAGAGAAACATCAATCGGCTGCCCCCTGCATGCGCCCAGACCGGGGATTGAACCTGAAACCTGGGTCTGTGCCCTGACCAGTGCCACCTTTTGGACGACACTCCAAGCAACTGAGCCACACTGGCCAGGGCCTGCCTTTTTTCTTATAACACTAGCTCAAAGAAAAGTTGATTTTTTTTTTTTTTAATTTGTTTTGTTTGTTTACAAAAATTTATACCCCAAACGACATAACTGGAATTAAGGAGAAATACTGGAAAGTTCAGTTTATTTCTTTATTTTTCCAGATTTGTCTGCCTTCAAAAGTTAAAAAAAAAAATTGCTTTATTGTTGTTTTATGTTTGCATTTTAATTATTCACGCTGCCCCTCTTCACTTGGACTCCGTGCTACTCGGAACTGTTCTCTGAGGTTATGAAGAATACTTGCATCCCTTGAAGTGTTAGAGCCGAGAGCAAAGAGCAAACCAGTTTATACAAGTTTTCTGTTGATTTGAACTTCAGAAAGCTGTTATTTCCAAAGGGCAGGGTTAGGACCAAAACTAAAATGTTTTTTGATTGACAATATTTTCAATAAAAAATTAAACTGATCCAGATGATGAACATTCAAAAGAAAAGCACTGCCTTTGGATGTATTGCAGACGTGTTTTCTCAGTGCTTTGTTTTTGTTTTTTGTGACGTTTGTGTTTACACGTGCTCTCTTAAATGGCTGGAAAGTGCGTGGCAGACCTGTGACGCCTCACCTGAAGTACTCAGCACGTGTCTGAAGAATTGAGGACGTCATTCCACATAAAACCGCAGCACTGGATCACATTCCAGAGAGCTAACCTTACACAGGAATACTAATCTAATGGACAGTCTGTTTTCCACATTTTTCTAATTCTTCCCAAAATGCGCTTTTATAACTTTTGTCCCTCTAATCCAGGATCCAGCCAAGGACCACTCATTGAGTTTGTCTGTTGTGTCACTTTAGTCTTCTTTAAACTAAAGGAGACTTTAGTTTTGTTTGTTTGTTTGTTTTTTGGTCTTTTATAGCATTAACATTATTGGGAGTCTACACCAGTTGTCTTGTAGAATGTTTCACAGCCTAATTTTGCCTTTTCTTGGCTAGTTTTGAGTTAGACATTTTTGGTAGGACTACCACATGTATGCCTTTCGCTACACCAGTCGGGAGGCACCGTGAGTGATACCAGTTTGTGGTATTATTGGTGACGCAGAGCTTGGTCGTGATGCAGAGCGCTTGTGTCTAGGGTACATCTAGGTCACTTCATTGCAAGGCCCTTTTTCCATTTTTAACTGTAAGTCGCCTGTAGGTTCATGCTTTGAGACGGGGACTGTCCTGTTCCTGAATAACCTTTCACCTGGTGTTAATTTCCTTCTTGGTATAATTCAGGGTTTCCCTTGGGTCTCTGGATGGGTGTCAGTGTATCTGTGAAGCGGCAGCCCCCCTCATTGTATGTATTCTCCCAGGGATACAGTCCATAACCTCCAAAATAGTTTCTTTACCCCCTGCTTTTGAGGCTCCTGCTACAAGTTTCTGCACGTCAGAGAAGCCTGTTCTAAGAGGTGGGTTTCTAGAAGCGGGGACTCAGCCCTGTTCATCTGGTTTCCCCAATCACCTAGCCCAGCATCACATGCAACTAGATACTTCATTTTTGTTGTTGTTTGTTTGAGAACACTTTGTCCTGGCCTTTCCCTTATCCCTGGCCAAGCATTTGGATCTTTTGTATTTGGCATAAACTGTACTAGCAGGTAAAGCAAAGGGGCTTAGCCCCTGGTTTTGGGTGTTCTCTTTGAGAAGATTTTTTGGGGGCAGCAAAATTTGATGTGTCTTTGTTGACACCGAAGTAAATTTAGGTCAATTGAAAATGAGTTAAAACACTGCAACATGTGTTTTAGTCGTCTCGAGACATTTTCACGGGTGTAAAATAGCTCATTTTGACTGTGGCGACAAGACCCAGCGGGTGACTTTGGGGAGCCGGGCCTCTGTTTCTAGCCTGCTGCGGAACAGCCCTGGAAGTGAGGGACTCTCGACTCCCCTGCTCGCCGGGAGAGCAGCGTGGAGGTGAGCGCGCAGCCGGCGAGGTGCAAAAGTTCTGTTCCATCTGTTGGTTAGCCTTTGGCGACGCCGGTTTCCCTTGCAGGACAAAGTGTCCGTCATTTGGGGGACTGATAATAATAAGAGCTAACATTGGGATAGTGGACTTTTAAAATGCACACAGAAGATCAGGCGGTGAAAGTAGACACTGTCGTTACCCTAATTACAGAGTAGGAGAAAAGGCTTCCAAGATGTTCAAGCGGCCAGCGTGAAAGAGCTCGCAAGGTGCTCCAGATTGTTGGTCCTTCCTGCCTTGTTAATCTAAAAGGTAGAGGCGTTGCAGGGAATCGAAACATGAACGCGTGGCCCTTGCTCTAAAGGATCTTTTAAATCCAACAAGTCTGTGTTATGAATCCGTTATAGACACCAAGTCAAGGGGAGAGGTAAGCAAGCACAGAAGAGGGCAGACCGCCTCCAAGGGGTGCTGGAGGCCGCGTTTGGCTGCTAGAATGTTCGGGAAGGAAAAGAATGGCAAAAGCATGGAGGTGGGAAAGCACAGGTCTTGCTGTGGAAGAGGAATTGGTCTGGTTTGGCTAGAGCTTGAGTTGCATGAAAAGAGTAAAAGAAAGTAGTGGAAGCCAGACCCAAAAGATAGATTAGGATGAGATTGTGAAGGACCTTGAATATCACGGCAGGCAAGGACCTCATTCTGTAGGGATTTTTGAGCAAGAAATGAGACATGTGACCCTGTAGAAGACTCAATGATAATCGTAATAAATGCTTACTTTTTTTACATTTTTAAGTTGTGACTCAGTACTAATCTCTTAAGATGCTTAACATACGTTATCTTAATGTCTCACAGTAACTCTAAGCAGTGTACTGTGTCCATTTTACAGATGTGAAACAGGCTCAGTGAGGTTGAGTTTGCAAATGTCAAACAGATGCTGATGGAGCTGGGACTTGGGCTGGGGTCTGTCAGCTTCCAAGGCCTGTTCTGTTTCTCACAATGAACTAGATGGACGTTTCTCTTATCGGATGACTAGATAAGTTCTTGATTCTCTGTCAAGAATGTGGCTGCAGGAAAAGGGCGCTTTCAGAGTTCTGAGAGGACCACTTCTCCGTGTGTAATTACGTTCAGGAGTATAATCACTACCAAGCCTGCTTTATACCGCTGCTCAGTTTGGGACCGGAGCAGGGTGGGGAATGGAAGAGCTGGATGATATTTTATTCACACACCTCGTGGTCCCAACATGTGCCCAGAGCGCATGTTTCGTTTTCATTTTCAGTGTTTAACCTTATTGCCCCTCAGTTCCTGGGAGCATTTTACGATGCATAAAGAAGCGATATTTTTCCTAAAATATGTTTCTTCTCAGCAGGTTCTCTACTTGTAAAAGACAATGACTACTGATGAAGGTGCCAAGAACAATGGAGAAAGCCCCGCAGCAGCAGCCGTTGCTGATCAGGGAGAGGATATCACCTCTAAAAAGGACAGAGGAGTGCTAAAGGTGAGGCCAGCAGGGCGAGTGAAGGACATGTAGGGACATTTACTGTTTGCAAAGATTGTTTGTAAAAGTCTTTTTTTGGGGTGAGGCTGGAGGTGAATAATGTTGACTAAGGCTTACTAAATGCCAAACATTACAGCTGAATTCTCATTTCATTTCATAACTGGAGGTTTATTTTTAGTCCCAGATTACAGATGGTAAAACTGAGGCCCAGGTAGGTAAATTACCTTGCCTAGTATCTTATATGTAAGTAAATGCAGGTCTGGGGTCAGGTCCAGGTTACATTTGACACCAAAAGGCTGCCTATCTCTATCCTAAGAGTGTACAAATGGGTTGTTATTTTAATACAATATTTCAGGATATTAAAGCTAACCAATAACGATTTAAAAGACTTTTTTAAAGGAAAAAAGAAGAGCTAACTTGCGAAGTTCAAAAGGATTTGTTTTTAATTCTCACCCGAGGATATGTTTATTGATTTTTAGAGAGAGGGAAATCGATCCATTGCCTCCCACAGGCACCCCGACTGGGAATCGAACCCACAACCTAGGTATGTGCCCTGGCCGGGAATGAAACCCACAGTCTTGGTGCCTGGGACGACACTTAACCAGCTGAGCCACAGGATTTGTGTTATGTACAAGTAGTGTACCTGTGTGAAGTAAAGATATTTCTGAGGCTTCATCAAAGACTGTATCTCACTTTTGAAACACTTTATATTTTTTCCCCTCTAGTTAATGTGTGTTACTTTGTGTCTCACAGTGGCCTTATAATACAATCAGAGGGCCTCCTGGTTCTTCTGTTTATGTATGGAAAGTGGATATTTATATTCCACATAAGGGAATAAACTGACGCTGAGAGAGGTCACACAGTTTAGTCACATTAAGTTCTTTCTCCTTCACTGTTACATATACAAGTTTTGTGGAATTATTAATTTTTTCCTGAAAAGATTATTTTACACATTCTAAGTATTACCTCTAAGCTGAGTTTTAGTATTTTCTTGTGTCTGCAGTAGCAAATGAAGATTTTCTAGTTTGTTCTGTCTAATGTCGCTTTGTGAATGCTTTTTTCTGTGCCTGAATCTCTTCTGAATGTACATGTTTTACTGTTAGCTTGCTGTGGGCCAAGCCAAATTTTGGACACTTGCAACTACAGAATAAGGGTTTTATGCTATTGGTTTGTGTCATGATGCATTCTTTCAGATGGCTTCTCAACTGGACCGGTATAGACGTGCTCATCCCAAACCCCAGGCTGCTCTTAGAGACAGTGAGGTTCTGCGGACTGTCCTCCGCATCTCCCTCCTCTTTTCAGAGCACCCAGCAGAGAGCACAGTCCCCACTCGCCTCAGGGTCTGCTTTGTTGGGGGGAGTAAGCTAATAAGATTTTTAGGCTTGTAAAAAACATTTTGAGATTGTAAATCCTTTCAATCATATCATTTTTCACTGTCTGGAGCGGCTTGGCCTTTGTGAAGATTGAACAGGCCTTCTAACTGTGTGACCTAGGGCAGTTTAGGTAACCTGTCCGTGGGGAATAGGTTGCCCAGCTTAGAGGGTCATCAGGGTTACACGAAACATTTCGCACAGGGCCACGCCCTGGTAACCTCTCTTATTAACTGTTACACATAAAAAGATCAGGGCAGCTCTGGGAAGTCAGTTACTAGCCCAGGAAGATGAAATTACATTGTGGAGCTTAAGTCTTTTTAAATGGATTGAGACTGGATTGTAGCCTTAAGGCAACTCCAGATTTGGGCACAAGTTTGTCCTGCTGGGGAAACCTGAAGTGATAGCACAGCATCGCCTACGGGTGCACCGCTGCCTGACTCCCGGTTACTGTTCACAGTCTGGAAATGCAGATTCCCTTCGGGTGAGGCTCAGGCTCCCACTCACTGCATGCAGTTCGTGAGCACTTCTGGAATATCCAGTGATTTCTTTCAGGTTAATTTTTTTGAAATGTTTTCCCCTTGGGAGTTCTTGAAGGGCAGTAATGATTATTTTAAGTAGCTCTTAACTTAATTTTTTAAATTATAATTATATTTTTCCCAACTCTGTTGATATAATTAACCTGTAACATTATGTAAGTTTATGGTGCAGAATGTGATGATTTGGTACTTTTAGGTTTCAGAATCATTATCACAGTAGGGTTAGTTACACCTCCATCACGTCACATAATTACCATTTCTTTTTTGTGGTGAGAACATATAAGTTCTAATCCCTTAACAACTTTCAAGTGTACAATACAGTGTTGTTAATTATGGCCACCAGGCTGTACATCAGATCCTCAGAATTTATTCATCTTATATCTGAAAGTGTGTATGCTTTGACTTCCATCTCACCATTTCCCCCACCCTTTAGCCCCTGGCAACCACCATTCTACTTCTGTTTCTGTGAGTTCACCTTTTTTAGATTCCACGTGTAAGGGATATAACAATGCTTTTCTTTGTCTGGCTTACTTCACTTAACATAATGCTCTCCAGGTACATCCATATTGTCATAAATGATATGATTTCCTTCTTTCTCAGCTCTGAATAACATTCCTGTGTGTGTGTGTGTGTGTGTGTGTGTGTGTGTGAGAGAGAGAGAGAGAGAGAGAGAGAGAGAGAGAGAGAGAGAGAAAGAGAGAAAGACACCTTTATCCACGAAGCCATGGAATGGACACCTAGGTGGCTTTCAAGGCTCGGCTGCTGTGAGCAATGCTACAGTGAACACAGGACTGCAGATACCTTTCTGAGATAGTGATTTCGTTTCCTTTGGGTTTATATCCAAAAGTGGGATTGCTGGATTATGTGGTGGTTCTATTTTTAATTTTTTGAGGAACCTCAATGTTCTTTTTCTTTTCTTTTTCTGGTTAATCCTCAACCAAAGATATTTTTTCCATTGATTTTTAGAGAGTAGAAGGGGTGGGGGGGGAGAGAAACACCGATGTGAGAGGGACACACCGATTGGCGGCCTCCCACATACACCCCGACTGGAGCCGGGGATCAAACCTGCAACCCAGGTCCGTGCCCTTGACCCGGAATCGAACCCGCAGCCCCTCGGTGTATGTGGGATGCTCTGAACACTGAGCCACACTGGCCAGGGCTCCTGCTCTTTTTCATAGTGGCTGCACCAGTTTGCATTCCCACCAGCAGTGCATGATGATTCCCTTTTATCTCTTGTCTTTTTGGTAATAGCCATTCTAACCGGTGTGAGGTGATAGCTCATTGTGGTTTTAATTTCCATTTCCAGAATTTTTTCCCCCAGATATTTCATTGTTAGTGTATATAAATGCAACTGATTTCTGTATGTTGATTTTATGTTCTGCAGATTTACTGAATTTATCGATTAGTTCTAACAGTTTTTTGATGGAGTTGCAGTAATGATTCTTTTTTAGAGACTGAGCTTTTGAACTAAGAAAGTTATAGATTCTAGGATAGTGTTTATGTGGCGATATGAGGGTGTGGGGCAAGAGGGACACATCTCAAAGAGTGTAAAAACAAATAATTGAATTCTTTAAATAGAAATTCAGAACCTTCCCCCAACAAGATGTTCTTGGGACATTAGCTACCATCCTCTGTTGTCTTAATTTGACAGGTGATTGACAGAGTAACTTACACCACATGCCTGGATTTGGTTTTCTTTTCCCAGGACTGACCAATTGCACTAGTGACTTGTTCTGCCAAGAACAAAATAAACATACTGGATTTTATAATAGCTAAATATTTTGTAGCTTGCATTTTTTTTGGCACTTCCATTACTAGAAAATAAATTACTCTGTATTATATCAAGCTGTCCAGTGACACTGTATTTTTATACATTGAATATTTGAATAATAGGAAATGCAACCTGTTATACCAGGAAATTGGGCTTTTTGAAATTAAATCAAGTTAGTGGAAACTAGTCGGAAGCTAATGTTTTTAGCAAAAGAGGGAATAAATAAAACCTCACCTTTGGAACTTTGCTTTAGACTACTTTTTTAATGTTTTTGAAAGTCTGCTAATTTTTTTTGGTCTAATTCAGTTTGTATGTGTTTTGAGAGATTTTAGGGTCAAAGCATGGGGAGCATTAAACCAATGAAGCAGGATCTGTTGGTAAGCTGTTTTGAGGGATCCATGTGATTAACAATAAGATTAAATATTAGCATTAAATTAAGTGTCGAGTAGGACCATGTTCTAATAGTGAGGGTTTTTGAGGGAACCAGGAAGGGAGCATTTAGAAAAGACAGATAATTACTTGCAGACCTGCCTGGGTGATATGAAATGGGCTGTGTGATCTTTTGATTCTCTGATTAGAAGTTAAAAGTTCCGCCTCCTTTTTCTTGACTTTTTTCCCCCTAGATTGTGAAGAGGGCGGGGAACAGTGAGGAAACGCCAATGATCGGAGATAGAGTTTATGTCCATTACAACGGAAAGCTGGCAAATGGAAAGAAGTTTGATTCCAGTCGTGATAGAAATGAACCATTTGTCTTTAGTCTTGGCAAAGGTAAGAGAGTATTTTTGAGTTGTGTTTGCTTAGATTTATTGCTATTTATATGTATAGGAGCTAGAAGGTCCTATCCTTGTCAAAAGTAAAGACTTTTTTTTTAATCCTCACCTAAGGGTTTATTTATTGATTTTAGAGAGAGGAAGGGGTAGAGAATGAGAGAGAGAGAGAAACATCGATCGGTTGCCCCCTGCCTCCCGAACTCACCCCAACTGGGGATTGAACCAGCAACCTAGATATGTGCCCTGACGGGGAATCAAACCTGCAACCTTTGGTGTACAGGATGACGCCCTACCAACCTGAGCCACGTGGCCAGGGTACAGAAGTAAAGATATTTTAAAGTAGTAGTTCTCGCCCAGCTGGGTGTGGCTCAGCGGTTGAAATCGACCTAGGATCCAGGAGATCGGGGTTCGAGTCCCTGCCCGGGTTGCAGGCTGCAGCCGATCAGTGACTCTCTCATCACTGATGTTTCTCTCTCTCTCCTTCTCTCTCCTTCTCTCTGAAATCAATAAAAATATATAAATAAATAAACAAACAAACAAACAGAGTAGTAGTTGTCAAATTACAGTCTTTGGATCCCTGGAGGTTCCTGAGATCCTTTTAGGCAGTCTATAATGTCAAAATTATTTTCATAATAACACTAAGATTTTATTTATATTTTTACTCTGTTGACATTTGCACTGATGGTGTAAAACCTGTAGTGGTAAAAACCCCTGGTGCCTTAGGGCAAATCTCAGCAGTGGCACCAAAGTACACCAGCAGTCGTGTATCCTTTACTGCCCTCATTTACTGTTTAAGTTAGAAAAGAAAGGAAGCCAGTTTCACTTAAGAATGTCCTTGAGCCCGGCCAGGTGTGGCTCAGTGGTTGAGCATCGACCTAGGATCCAGGCGATCGGGGTTCGAGTCCCGGTCAGGGCACATGCCGGGGCTGTGGGCTCGATCAGTGACTCTCTCATCATTGATGTTTCTCTCTCTCTCTCTCTCCCTTTCCTTTCCTCTCTGAAATCAATAAAGATATATTAACAAAAAAAAAACAAGACCAAAAAAAAAAAGTCCTTGAGCCCAGCTGATGTGGCTCAGTGGTTGAGCGTCAACCTATGAACCAGGAGGTCATGGTTGGATTCCTGATCAGGGCACAGGCCCGAGTTGTGGGCTCCATCCCCAGCAGGGGGCGTGCAGGAGGCGGCTGATCCATGACTCTCTCATTATTGATGTTTCTATCTCTCCCTCTCCCTTCCTCTCTGAAATCAATAAAAACATATTAAATAAATGGTCAAATTCTTAAAAAAAAAAAAATAATGTCCTTGATATAGTGTAAAAAGTACTAATTTTATTCAGTCCTAATCCCTGAGTTTCACAGAACAGTTGTCTTGCTGTTTTGTGAGAGAAAGGGAAGTAGGTAAGCACACTGCACACCAAGTTCGTGGTTCCCCCAAGGAAACGTTTGCACCTGTGCACTGGCTTTAGCGGTGAGCTGAACTAGCTGCATTTTTTTTCATGAAACATTTTTATTAGAAAGGGCAAAAAGTTTGATTATCTGGACTTGATTGTTCAGTATTAGGCAGATATCTTCTTGAAAATGAATGAAGTAACCTGTCACTTCAAGGAGAACAGCTGACACTATTTGTTACCATTGCATTTTCAAGTGAAGATTGCAGTTCTGGACATTTGTATCTGCCACTTTGAACTTCACAGCTTCGCAAAACATGAAACTTCTGATGAGATCAATGGGTATTAATGTATGTGATTTAAAAAATATTATATGATGAAATCTGTTAACATTTGGAAAACTCTGTCTAACTCAGTGAAGCAGTACTTTCCCTGTGACCAGTGCAAGATATAAAGTTATACATGAGTAAAAGATTCATTCAGTGTGCAAGCTAGACCAATGGAATTTACTGTACTATAATATAAAAAGTTCATTGATATGTTTTCAGGTTCTACATTGTACCTAACATTTATAAAGCTACCACTTGCCTAGTTTTGATGTAGTAACAGATGATTACATTCATAATGACCTGAAAAGGCTATTAAAATACTCCTACCTCTCTCAACTATCTTTGTGAGTTTGGGTATTTTTGCCATCAACCAGAATTGCAACAAATGAATGTAAAAGTACGTATGAGAATCTGGTTGTCTTTTATTAAAGTCAGACATGTTTTAAATTTGTAAAAGCACAAAACAGTGTCATTCTTCTCACTAATTTATTTTTGTTTTTGAAAATACAATATTTTCATAAAAATAAATATATTGCCATAATGAGGTTATTTTTATTTTTAAGTGAATTGGTATATAACTTTTTATTTTTAAAATTGCAACTATATAAGATATATAAGTAAAATTGGGGGTCCTCAATTTTTAAGATGTAGAGGGGTCCTGAGAAAAAAAGGTTAATAACCACTGTTTATAAGTCTTAAATGTGATTTTTGCTGACTTATTTTCAAATACTTTTAAATGTCTTTAGTTGATTTAATATTATTTATTTAATCTTTTAAGAAGAAGAATAGCTCGTACATCAAATGGAACTTTGTGGACCATGTTGCCTGTTGAAAATTCGTGGCTGAATTACAATGTCTTTTTTTATATTGAATTTTTTGGGGTGATGTTGGTTAATAAAATCATATAGGTTTCGGGTGTACTGTTCTATAGTACACCATCTGCATATTGCACTGTGTTCGCCACCCCAAGTTCAGTGCGCCTTCCATCACATTTACCTCCCTTTGCCCTCCCACCTGCCTGCACCCCACTTTCCCGCTGGTAATCACCATACTGTGTTGTCTGTGTCTACGAGGTGGTGTTTTTTCTTAATCCCTTCCCCTATCCACTCCCCTGATCCACTCCCCTCTGACGCTGCCAGTCTGTCCTGTGCATGTGTGAGTCTGTTTCTGTTTTGTTAGTTTATTTTGTTCACTAGATCCCACATCTAAGTGCAATGTGCAATGCCTTTTTGTTTTTATTTACCGCAGGTGTGAGACGCCTGGTTCACTCCCAGATTAAGTGCAGGAGAAAAGGGGTAATCCCCCATCCACCACCATGGCTCAGTGTTTGCTGTGGTTTCTTTTTCTGCCTCTACAGCTTAGTTGAATTGTAGCTAAGCAGTTATCTGGGAGGGAAACAGAAAGCGAGGAACTAAGAAACTGAACTCTTCCTGCCCGGCACGCCTCCCCGCGTCCGCAGGTGTCTGTGCGTTGCGGTGCCT